GAGGGAGTTGAATAAACTGCCAAACGTGGGATCCATGATCTGCGGAGGGGAGTAGAAAACTTTATTGCGTCCCTGTGCACTCTCCTCATGCTACATCAACGTGCAGGAACTTCAGAGGTCAATCGACCTGAGGGAACTCAAACACTTGTCCTTTGGTGACGTAGACTATACATTTAGTCCACACATGTCTATAACGTTGATAATAGGCTCCCCGAGATAGGACTTTTACCGTTGTTCTTGCAGACGTTGACTGTCTGGCCTTAGTAGTCTGCTAAGCCATCAAGGGATAGTCCAGTAGTAGTAGTAGTAGTAGTAGTAGTAGTAGTAGTAGCAGTAGTAGTAGTAGTAGTAGTAGTAGTAGTAGTAGTAGTAGTAGTACTCCGTTGGAGTCAGACGCAGTATAGTAGTAATGAGTATTAGAGGAAAGAACCAAATGCTGTATAATCTGCCGACCCTCAGGTGCGTGTCACATAGGAATCGGACGTATCACACACGTGTCACCATAGTCTCGACATTCTGTGATGTACAGCAAATGAGGACGAGAGCTCCTGCCCAAGCTGCTGCTATCGTGCACTAAGGCCGTGACCAGTTAGTTGCCTGCCCTTATAGGAACCCCTCGCGTCCTCAGCATGTCATGTATTGTCTTACAATCGTCCGTCCCTCGTTTTCAGGTAGCATTCCACGTTTTCCATGTGCCCTCCAACCGAGGAAGTGAAAGTGTCCGACGGCAATCGGGTTTTCGTCGAGAAGTCATCTTATCGCTTTGTCAATGCCCCATCGGGCACTGTCTTCACCTGCTGGACGGCCTTGTCCAAAACTATGATCGGCACGGGAATGCTGGCTTTGGCCTACGGCTTCTCCCAGTGTGGTTGGCTGCTTGGCTTCGTCCTACTTATCCTCTCCGCCATGGGAGCATCATTTACACTGCATCTTCTGAACATACTAGCAATGAGGTCGCCAACCCGACACGTGTCCTTCTTCACTATTGCTGAGGCGTGTGCTCCTTGGTCTCGATGGATTGT